TACCATTCGACTCACTTTCAAGTGCTGCTTCTACTCATACAAAAGTAAGCAAGATCATCCGGATAAACGATATGTGGATTTTTTATTAATGGTCCTGCTAGATTCTGTTGCAGGATACCAGATCCTTTATTCCTGGGCTACATACCTTCACTTTGTTCGGTTGGTTACATCCCTTCACCTTGTTCGGTTGTTCGATGCAAGTGTCCCCTATTTCCCACTGGAAATAAAATATGAGAAGGGAAATGGGGGTCAAGTTTCAGTGCTTTCCGAAATTACTGCGTCGGAGCCGTGGCATAATGTTTTTGCCTGCGTTGCTGCTCATCCGATTGACATTTCAGGACTCGTCTGAAAGTGAACAAACTTTTTCACGATGCGATTCGATGCTATCGTTGGAGCGTTGCACAGCCAGTGAATTGCCGTTCGCCCTGTCTACGTCCAATTTGTTAAGTGCATCGGCAACAATAAAAGAAAATCGTGTTCCGATTGCAATGGCCATCCATGAATACATTCATGCTTGGTTCAAAGGTGCTGATCACAGCAAGTAGGCATTTCTTGTCTTCGCCCTCCGCGTTGGACCCGGCTGTCGTAGGAATCGCAAATCAAAAGAATGTTCTCGGATCTTCTTGTCGGCGGCATAATTTTTTTTCTCGTACTAATGAACAAGCAAAAATGTTAGTAATTTGAAAACTTGAATTTCACGTGGTCGCACTTTCCCAGGACGTTAGTGCGAGTTTTTGGCACTGTGCTTGCATCATTCCCGGCTACCGCTGTCCCCGCTTTGACTGATCCCGGTTCGGATATTGATTCACTTATTTTCACGCTGAAAAATGCTGAGAAGATCAAAACCATTCTTCCATTTAAACAGGTTTGTTTTGATAACTACAGCCGGGATTTTCTCACCATTCTTGGTAGGAGATTACAGGAAAATCTCATTTAACATACCTTCTAGATCATTAACAAAAAGGAGAAGTCAGTATGGGATGGAAAGTTGGACGAAGGTAGGCTTACTTATCCAAACCATGTACTGGGCACCTGCTTGGTCTTGTACTTCATTTTGGTAGTGTAAACATCT